TTTAGCCTCCAGTCCCCTAAACCACACACTATATTGTAAGATCTTCACACGGAGCGTAGTGTAACATCAGATACAGAAGAAAAGGCAAAAATTTAGATATCTGTCCTTTCCTTTTCCTGTATATGGTACTCATATTAACATTCCTCTCCTTTAAAGATGCCCATTTCTCCACCCTTGTCTTGCTACAGATAAATACGCAGTGCGGTTCATTCCCCGTGAGAATGGCATCTACTCGGTTGATGTCAAGTTCAATGGAAGCCACATACCCGGCAGTCCCTTCAAGATTCGTGTTGGGGAAATAGGTCAAGCTGGAGACCCAGGGATGGTATCCGCCTATGGCCCTGGCTTGGAAGGTGGTGTGACAGGTAAAAAGGAACCTGGAGTAAAGCCAAAGGCTACTGTGAGATTTTGGTAAAAGCTAACTATCTGGTTTCATGTGTTCTTTTTCTCTCTCCCTCTCATCTGTAGGACACCCTGCTGAATTCATAGTCAACACTACAAACGCTGGGCCTGGGGCACTGTCTGTCACTATTGATGGTCCCTCAAAGGTGAAGATGGACTGCCAAGAGTGCTCAGAGGGCTACAAAGTCATCTACACACCCATGGCACCTGGCAGCTACCTCATCTCCATCAAATTCGGTGGTCCATATCACATTGCTGGCAGTCCTTTCAAAGCTAAAATTACAGGTAATCGCACAATGGGGAGGGGAAAAGTTGCCTGTGATCTACTTAGAGATTCTTTTTAATACTAATTTTATGTCTGTATTTTTCAACTTGTTACTTCTTCACTGATGAATTCCCATCATCTCTAGAGGAAGCCCTAAACCATCTGAAGGGACATAGGCTGGGGAAGCTAGGCAATTTTTGTAGAAATACAGCAGTAGTGTCACCTCCTTGCATTCTGCTAAAGACTAGAGCTTTCATCAAAGTGATGATGCAGAACATATTGCCTTGATATGACTGGATATGCTGTAAATCCCAAGGTTAAATTCTTCTCTTCTTCCTGGCAGGGGCCCGCCTTGTTCCCAGCCACAGCCTCCACGAGACCTCCTCAGTCTTCATGGATGGAGTAGCCAAACCTGATGGAGCAGCACCCAAATTTGCTTCAGATGCCAGCAAAGTGGTTGCCAAGGGGCTGGGCCTCAACAAGGGTTTTCTAGGTCAAAAGAACTCTTTCACCGTCGATTGCAGCAAAGCAGGTGGGTGTAAATGCTTGGTAGGGTGGGGAAGCTGCATAGAAAATCCCATAGCTCCAATTAGGTATACTGATATTTTATGTCTTCTTAGAAAGCCACACCCCAATATGTTGTATGGTTAGCTTTTGAGGGCTCAGTTGAGTAGTGACTGGATTGGGAAGACCTGGAAGCAAGGAAGCTTGATTGTTGTACTAGGCTATTACGTGATTGGTTTGGTTTTAGCTTAATGGCTTGTGTGAACCTAGTTACTGTGATTTGTGGACCATGTTTATGTGGGCTACAGTTTATTCATAATGTGTGAATGCAGCCAGGGAGATTCACCAAGCCAATTGTTTTAAACACTCCAATCAAGGGGATGACCCCCTCAGCCCAACCGTTGCAAATGACTACTTTGTAAGGACTACTTGTTCTCTCCTCCTCCTTTCTCTCCAGGGAACAACATGTTGCTGGTGGGTGTACACGGCCCCAAGACTCCATGTGAGGAGATCGTGGTGAAGCACTTGGGCAACCGGTTGTACAACGTCACCTACCTGTTGAAGGACAGAGGCGACTACATCCTGGTGGTGAAATGGGGAGATGAGCACATCCCCGGCAGCCCCTTCCATATCTCTGTACCTTAGAGCTCTTCCCTCTGCCTGAGTGTAACACTGCCCCTCCTGAACTCCCTCTGTAATGCTTCTGCCTCTTACTTACCAATTGGCAGGGGTGGTGGCCAAGGAGGCTGTCTTATGGGGTGGGAGGGATGAGTGTGGGTGGGTTGCCCTCGGAAGGAAGAGATTCCTGTGGATCTGTTTACATGCAGCAGTAATTATTTCCAACCATTTCTCCTCCCCCCCCCCCGTGTCTTTTTCTTTCCTTGGCGGGAGGCTCGATTGATTTTTCTCACCAGCATGCCAGCTTCATGCCCATGAACTGAACTTGTGCCCTCCCCCAGGGTTGCCAGAAAAGCCCTCTTTCCCCATCAACAAAATATGGCACGTGGATACTGCCAGTGCATATTGTTGCCATCCACTGCTTGAGAAACCGCTGCTTCTCCTGGAGGGCAGTCTCTTTCGTCTCTTTGTCCTTTTCCCTTAAAGGGCTTGAGATGGAAGCTCTGTGGGTAACCAATAACCAGTGGCAGGCGCTACTCCTTGCTTTGCCAGTTTATAGCCAAATCCTTGTTTAGTCCTTTCAAGATTTAAATTGTGGTTGTGCACAACTGCCAGTACCTTTCTTTGACAAGGGAAGGGAATAAAAGTTCTGCTTCAAATGCCGGTTGGTGGTCTCTGACTGTTTTTTTCCCCTTTTCGTATTCTTATGCCTTATTCAGCCATTGTCTGTTGAGATTCTGGGTCACGCCCAGTGATCTCCTACTTAGTTCATTGAAATTGCCAATCCTCCTTGTTCAGCTCAGCTGACTTTTGTAACCATCATCTCTCAGTAGTTCCACAGTTACAAGGGAAAGCTGGTTCCACAGTTACAAGCAATGCTGGCTGTGGAATTCTGGGAGTTGAAGTCCACATGCCTTAAAATTGTCAAGGTTGAGAAACACTGTGGTAGGCAATCTGTATCGGAGAAGTCTTCTTGAACTTTCTGAGGAGGCTCAGAGATTACTAGGAATCATAATTGCTTTACTCTGAAGCAAATAGTTTTCTATAAGCTGGAAATTGTTTTGAGATCTGTTTGCCTTGAGCAAACAGTAGATACTGACTCAACTCTTGAATACCTAGGATTGTTCTCTGTCAGACTGAATTGAATTCTTGCAATCACATTTGCCCATGAAAACATATACTAGATGCGGGCCTTTAACTGATCTAGCAGAGAAAATGTCATAATCGACATTTATCAAATATGGAAGATTCAACTTGCCTTGGACTTTGTTCTGAGAAGATGTCTAGAATGTATTAAAGTCTAAAGAGCTGGGTATTAAGGTAAGAAAACCCATGTCAGATCAGACAAGGAATCTAATTAGGACAGGATTCACTTCCCTGAGCAATTATCCAGATGCCAGTGGGGAGTCCATATTCAGGAACAAATACACAGCAAGTGCCTGCTTTTGTTTCCTAGCAACTGGCATTCATAGGCAATGAATGAATGAAGAGGCAACAAACAACCATCATAAGTAGCCACTGATAGTCTTACTGCTCATACACAATGAGTTAAGAGCTGGCATATTATAATGGTTAAGGTGTTAGATTCACACTGGGGAGACCCAAGATTCTAGTCCCTGCTCAGAAGCAGAAGCTGACTGGATGACTTTGAACCAGCCCAACTCACCTCGCAGGGTGATTGGAGAGGGGAAAAAAATGGAAGGAGGAACAGTTATATATGTCACTTTGGGCTTTATGTTGCTATAAACGTAGCAAACTCTGCCTAGCAGATAAGAGAAGACAATACAGATTATGTGGGGTTGTTTTTTGCCACACTCATTTGGACTTACAAAATAGCAGAAGTGACTATACCAGTGATGGCAAACCTTTTAGAGACCGAGTGCCCCAAAACCACCCTGCCTGCAAGATCACCCACTGCCTCCATGGCCCGCTGCAGATCGCCCAGGTGGCCCAGCAGCGCCATGGCTGCCACGCCCTCTGCCTGCGTCCCACAGCATCATCTGCGCATGATGGGGCACGAGGGCGGAGTCTTGTCCCCGCTGCCCGGCTGCCATGTCCTTGGCTGTGCGACTCTCCTCTGGGGGGGCTGCTGGTGAGGGGGCTGCGGAGGGAGGTGGGGCTGGGGCAACTGTGTGTGCCCACAGAGAGGGTTCTGAGTGCCACCACCACTGGACTATACAATATTTGACCCTAGAAGTTATAATGGTTAAATGCAGAATCGTTAAATTAGACCCACTTGTCTAATAAGAAATGATTCACCTTTAATTTTGTTGTCAAGGCAACACATGGAATGGTATCCTACTGTATTTGTTTCCTTTATACAGTAAAAAAAAATGGAGTCCCCTCCTAGTTCTTGGCAAGCAATGACTATTCTCTCCTTTTTTATTCTTTGCATGTTATCAGTGCTGCCTAATAGGCCTGAAAACTAATGTTTAAAGAGACCAATTGAGAGTTTCCTAAACAAAACAGTATGAATGGACCAGGGAACTTTGCTTGGGCCAACTTGACTAATTGTCCATTGTTCCTGTTTCCACTGAAAAATATATTTGGCGTTCCTTGGAGCCTTAGGAAGTTTTCAAGAGCTAGGGTTATGATTAGATCCTCTTTTAAGTGTTCCTTGCTTTAAAAAAAAAACACCCCTCAGGCAGAGCTGCACAAATTAACTGGCTGCAGGAGCCTTCATAGTGTTACGTGGGTAGACTGTGGAAGAGTCTTAAAACATCAGGAATGTACTGGTTGGCAGAGAATGCAGTTTCTTAAGACCATGTCCATCTTTAGACAAACACATTTTAGAGCACTTACTGCCACAAAGAGTACTGCTAGAAAGTGGGTGGCCAAATTCCCAGGACTCTCAGACTTAGGGCTACATTTCATTTTCCTCGAAGTAAGAGGATGGGACTCTTACCCGGGGACTTCTAATGAGCAACGTCCCACAAGATAAAATGTTGGCATATCTGCATAAGCTACTTGGAAGTTGTGACTATCTAAATGACGATGTTACTTACCCACCCGTTACCCATTTCTTCAAGTTCTGAAGTAACTACAAGAAATCTGTTAAATTGCTGCATCTACAAATGAGCAAAATGCAGACTGGGGGGACTTTTAGAACAAAGCTCCAATCCTCAAGTGCTCCAGCCAATTGCCAAAGACAAACTATGCCTTGGGATGTTGCCTGAGTACTTGTCCAGTGGAAGAGGTCAGATCACTGACTTCATTCCTCCCATTAACTTGGCTAATTGGGCAGGCACAAGATCCTGAATTGTGGCTACCCAAGATTCCTTGAAGCTAGCACTTCACTTGGCAGAGAAACCTCAGAATGCCTGAGTGTCACTAGCTGGTTTCCATTCTTCACACATGGACAACTTCTATGCATAGGCAAGCCAATTCAAATTACAAGATTCATGGAGAGGATTTACTACAAAACCAGGTAGTCCTGGACTTACAACCATAATTGGGAGTGGAACCTCCACCTCTAAGTGAGGTAGTCATTGAGTAAACCACAGTCGTTATACTGGTTTTGCTTGTCGGAAGCCAGCTGAAGCCAGGTGGTGAATGGCAAATCACCTGAGCCCAGGACACTGCAACCCTCATAAATACATGTCGGTTGCCAAACCCCAGAATTTTGATCCGATGAGATGCTTCAACAGTCGTAAGTGTGAAGACTGATGAACGTACTTTTTTACAGTGCTGTCATAACTGAACAATTGCTAAACAAATATTTGATCATTAAGTCGAACTACCTGTATATTATAGATCTAGTGCAGGTTGCTGATGTAGAAATTAAAACTTCTCCCAGTTGTTCTTGCCTGCATTAACTTGTAGTTGGGGAATACCCAGGACAAAAACAGTACTACAAAGAGAAAATCCAGAAAGTTTGCCTGTCATTCCAATCAACACCTGAAACAGTTTTTGCTATGGAATATTCATTTGGCTGCTTCCTTCCACAAACAATTGGCTTAAGTAACAACATTTGGTTCCTACAATTCCAAAGTGGCACCGAGTTTTGCACTCCCCTCTCCACTCCTGGTCACATGCAGAATATTAACCAGGCTTCCCATTTTGTCAAAACTTGTGTATGGCAGCCACACATGAGTTAAATGAATAAGAGTATCCCATCAACATGCTTTCAGGGGTTTTTATAAATGAGAGTGTAAATTAGATGTGATCGTTTTTATATTAAAGTATAGTCTCCCAAATGCCAGACGCTACTTTGATGAGAAGAGAGGCAAGATTATCATTTAAATCCATTCAAAACTATAAATAACCACCTGAGTGAAATTGCTCTTCTCTTTCTCATAAATTCTTTGCCCAAGGCAATCATAAGAATCTGTAGAGAATTAGGAAGATGATCTTGAGGAAGATAAGCAGACAGGTCTCTGATTCAGTGAAATATAAGGAGGAGGAAAGACAGCACAAGCGGGGCCTGCCAGACTCTGCATATCGAGTCTCAATAAAAGTATGGTAGTGTTAGCCTTCCTGTGAGATTGATTGATTTCCTGGACTGGCCTATAGGACTTCAGTTTTGAAATCTAAAGTAAAGCACTGCTTTACATTTGGAAGAGGCAAAAAATAAATGGCCACCTCATCCAGAAGGCAGATTGGCTAGTTGGATGGTGGGGTGGTAATTCAGTGTGACTTCAACCTAGCCCAATGTGAGCATTGCCAATTTTCATTTGTGAATGTTACGTGATTAGCCGCTGTGATACATGACAGGGAAGTTGTTAGGAAGAAGCATGCTGACCCACATCGCCCTTCCAAACTCTCAGGCAATGTGAAATTGTGGCAAACAGGTCCCACCCGATTGGCAGAGAACCAACAGTCAAGACTCCCCAGTAGACAGAGGAAGTAAAAAGTCATTACAGAGCGGACAAAAAAGGGGAGAGGAGGGAATCTGTTCCTGGCACTGAAAAGAAAATGGGGGAGAATTGGCTGGAGAGGGTTTCTTCCATGCCCTCTGCTGCCCCCCTACCCAGAATGTACCAATAGACCCTGGCTGGCCAGACTTGTGCTGGCACTGTTATTGATTTGTTTGAGTGTTAAATTTATTTTCCACCTGTCTCGCTGTGGGGTACTCTAGGTGGTGTTAGAGTTAGTAGAGCCTTTGGGGTGCGGTTCCTGTTTTAACACATTGCCACTCTTCTTTTACTCACAACATAGCGTGTTTAGCAGGAATGTTCCCCGAACTCTGATAATAGTCTTTTTTTAAAAAAAAAGAAAGAAAGGCAGAGACAATAAACCAGG